ATGGATTAATAAATCACTTTGAGGTTTTTTTCCCTACAATCAAGTGGCATATAAATTTTATGAAAGGGATAAAAAAGGCAGACTTTGTAAAAGGTAACTTCTGACATCCCTAGAGGAACATAGTCTTTGCCAACTGGTGCCTTCCAGATGTTTTGGACAACCAGATCCATCACAGAAACATAGAACTGAAGAGTTGGAAGGGGACCCTCAAGGGTCATCTAATTCAGTCTCAACTAGATCAGTCTGATAGGTGTTGTAGTCCCAAGCGACAAGGGCTGATGGGGAGTTGTGATCAAGAACATCTGGAGGGCCCCAGGCTGGGGATGGCTGCTGTAGTGTGTCTTGCATTGAGTGGCTTGCCCAAGCCTCCACCGGGAATTAGTGGCAGGGCTCTCCTCAACCCCTTGTCTCTGGCTTTCTCATTTTGCACTGGTGTGCTGCCTTTATTATCTTAACTAGCTGCAGGTGCTGCTGACTTGGCGTGGATCCATTCCGTAGCCGCCATCTTTAATTGGTCCATGGCCTTCCCCCTTGCCTTTGTGTGCTGGGGTGTGTTGCATGTAAAAGGGGCGTTTTTGGATCAAAACCCGGATTGGGCTGTTGACTTGCCCCGCTGCAGGTAGATCCAGTTCTCTACCTGCCACAGGCAAAGCCCTTTTTTGCACTCCTCCGACAGAAATCTTAATAGGCTTTTGCTCTAACCCTCTGGCATTGCGCAGAGCACGTAATTCTCCCTTATCTTACTTTTGAACTGGGGGACTCCTTGGCAGTGGTTTTGGGCGTGAGCTTGCAAGGTGTGCTGGGGTGGTCGACCTGTGATTCAGATTCTTGGAGAATCAGGAGAGAAGTGGCTGAATCCATCTCCCTTTGGGGCCTGGCCTGCGGGGAGGGAGGGTGATGGGACACGCCTTGTTTGTTCCTGCAGTTGCTCCCCCCTTCCCTTCTCTCCCCCTCTACCATGCACACGTCTGCGCTTTTGAGTCTGGAATGGTGCAGGTAAGTCATACCTGGAGGCCCTGAGAGGAGAGAAGTGGAAGGCCTGGTAATTAAACAGCAGCTGGGCACCATCAAAGCATCGCTGGTGGAGCTGCTCCCCACCCCTGCTTTAGGGACCCGCACCCTGCACTGAGGCATGTGACCCATTTGAGGAACAACACTGAAAGCCCATGTAGGTTTCCTGCTTGTTTTGGCAGCCAGGTCCACATCTGCTCTCCTTACTCCCAAGTCTGGTAGCAGAATTAGAAACTCAAGATATATAAGCTAATTGCCAAATGGCACCTTAAATCTAAGTTACGGTCTCCACAACGGATTGTCTAGTCACCTTTTTTAAATGATGAAACAACAACAAATTTCATTTCTATACCGCTTTATATTTTAAAGGGGGGGGATCTCAAAGCGTTTTACAACCCATTAAAACATCAAATAAAACAATACAGAAACAAATAGATCTGCACAGATTAGCTGCCTAGTGGGGCGAAGGAGAAATCCTCACCTTTGGCTACAGGAATGCAGCTTTTTGCATTTCCCTTTTTTAAAAACCTACCTCTGTACAGCTTGTTTTTGTAATGAGTCCCCCTTTTTGCCTTGATAAATTTGGTTTAAATAGGTTACAGGGTTGGTGACCAAAAATGGAGTAGCTTAGGTTGGCCAGCATCCTGTGACATCATTTGGGATATGTGTGAGGGGGTCTTTCCTAGATCAGCCACAGATGGGGGGTGGGCTGTTTGGCTTGCGTGGAATGGAGGTGGCAGAGCCCTCCTGTTTGGCCTGCTTGCTTCCTTTTCCCAGGACTTTACTAGCTCAGGCTGGAATGACTCTTTCTCCCCCCCCCCCCCCCGCCCCCAAACGACACATATTTGGACTGTGAAGAGCTGACAGAAGTACTTGTGATGGCCCCAGGGTGGTGAGATTGCCCACAAACTGGAATGAGGTAGAAGGAGAACAGGCTTCTCCCTCAAGACACTGGAGGGATGTGGATAAGATAATAAACAGAGCACACAGGAAGGCTGCCTTGGATCCTCTTGTGTGTAATAAAGGCCAGAGTTCGTAATGACATGCTTGCATCTCGCCTCTGCCTTTCTTGGTCATAATGGGAGCCTGCATCTCCTCCAGGATGCAAGGGCCAGCCAGGTGTTTTCCAGGACACTCCTGAGGGAGGCTGCAGGTGGAGGCAGCAACCCCCACCTGTTGATTGTCCCCAGCGTGTGGTAGGCAGATGTTGACTGAGTGCTAATAATAATAATAATAATAATAATAATAATAATAATAACTCCCTTCGCCCTAAGGTTGCAGGGCAGGTGACAGCTATTAAAATGCAATATTAAAAACAGTTTAAGACAACTCACAACCACAGAAAAATAAATAAATAAACATGCACCTCAAGTGTCAAAAGCCACGGTAAAGAGATGCAACTTCAACATTAGACAGAAACTTAATAACGAAGGTGCTGGATGCATCTCTGTGCAGAGGGAATTCTACAACTTAGGGGCTGACACAGAGAAGGCCCTCTCCCGAGCTGCCACCCCCCTGAGCTTCTGTAGACCCTAACCAGGAGGGCCCCCCCCTCTGCTGATCTTAACACCCGAGGGGGTCCATAGGGAAGGGAGACCTGAATCTAAGGCTTTAAACACAAACATGAACACCCAGAAATTAACCAGTTCAGGTGTTTAAAAACAAGGGTTATATGAGAACTAAACAGAGCGCCAGTTCTGGGCAGTTGAAGTTTCTGAGTCGTCTTCAAAGGCAGTGAAAGACTCATGCATTGGAGGGGGTTGGCAAGATAGTCCTCGCAGTTCCTTCCAGCTCCACAGTTCTATGATTGTTTTGTGGAGCCCACGACCGTCTCTTATAAATTCTCTCGTGAGCCCCAAAGCCCCCAGACTTTGAGGACCTCTCACCCTCACCCTGCTGGCTGCAGTGGCTCTCTGAAGCCTGAGGCAGAGAAGATCAGAAAAGCTACCTTCTGCCAGCTTGGACTGTTTGCTTCGCTGGCCCAGTATTGGCCACTCTGGCTGGCAGCAGGGCTTCAGGCCGTGCGACGGGCCTTGCCCCATTCCTGTCACCCTGTGGACCTTTTATCTGGAGGTGCGACTCAGAGGTGCCGACTCTACTTCTGCTGTTCTGGCCCCTCCCCTGGGAGAGGGGAAGAACCAGATCTGGCAGGTTGGGGTTTTTTTTGGAAGGCCCCTTTGCCGAGCCGGCTGGGATTCCTCCCAGAGCGCCAGACTTGCCCGGACAAGATTCCCGAAGCCCTGCGGTGGGCGCTTTTGCCTTGGATGGCTGATTCCTTGCCTTGGCTCCAACCCTGGGCTTGCTCTGAGGCAAGCGATATCTGGAGCAGAACATTAATGCGAGCATAAGTCATGTGAAACGCTCGTCATTTTGCAACATTGGTAATAATCAAGTGGCGCTGTGCATTTGTGTGTGTGTGTTGACTTCTGGTTGCCTCGGCCTCCCTTCCCCAGGGCTGTTAGAAATAACTGAGCAAGCACAGTGAGGTCCTTTCTTGTTTGGGGTAAGATGTTCCCGCTTCCAGGAGAAGCTTCTTTGTAACCCAGACGGTCGGATTTAGAGGCCCAGGCCCATTTTAATTCTCCTAATAACCGGGTCTGTCTAATCATGTGATGCTGGTGAGGGCTTTCGGTATCAAGGAAATGTTGTTCGTGAAACTGGGATCTGGCCTACACAACTGAGCGTTCGTGTGTGTGTGTGTGTGTGTGTGTGGAGATGGGGAGAGAACTTTTTTGAGGGGGGGGATGAGAGAAAAGCCTGAATGTATTGAGGAAAATTATGGGGTGTGTCACTCTTTTTTGAATCGGGATCTCTGTGTCCACAGTTCCTATTTCTGAGACAATGGCTTCTAAAGTAAGAGTTGATGGTTTGAGCTGGGGAGGGGCCGGTTTCTTACTGGGGCGGACGCCTTGAAAGAAGTCCAGTAGCTAGTGGACAGAATGATTTAGTTGAGATTTGTACATTGCAGGGGGTTAGACTAGAATTGGTGGCAGGGAATGGCTGACCACTGTCATGGGGGGCTGTTGACCCCAATACAGTGGTGCCTTGGTTTAAGAACAGCTTAGTTTATGAACAACTTGGATTAAGAACGCTGCAAACCCGGAAGTAGGTGTTTTGGTTTGTGAGCTTTGCCTTGGAAGCAGAACATGCTTTGCTTCCTGTTGAGTGTAAATTGAGTCCCCTGCTGCTATGGGAAAGCACGCCTTGGTTTAAGAACGCTTTGGTTTAAGAACGGACTTCTGGAACGGATTAAGTTCATAAACCAAGGTACCACTGTAAAGCAAAATTTCCTAATCCCCCTCCAATGCCTTACACAAAAAGTTAAAGTAGACACAGCACTGGGTGCAAATCTTTCTGTTCAGCAGCACCCTGATGGGAATGCACATTGTTCCCTTCCCCAATGTTCAGATAATTTGAGGGGGAAGTAGGGGGAAGCAATTATAAACTCTCCTCAGCTGGTCTACACAGATTAAATACGGGGCAGGGCTGTGTGTGCATGTGTGAATGTGAGTTTGTTGCAGCTGCCGCTGGCATTTGAGCCCCAGAGGGCTGCCCCAAAAAGGTTAGTGGAGTGACTTCCTTCAGATTTGGAGATAAGCCTCTCCTCTCCCTGAACCTGGTGTTTTATCTCTTGGGGATGGGGGTGGAGGGGGAAGGAGGAAGGAAGCACCTGGATTTATAGTCAATTTAGGTGTGACACAGACCTCCTGGTATATCCAGCTTCTCCGCCCTCCTCTGCACAAACACATTTAAAAAAACAAAAACAAAACCCGCAGGTGGAATTCTAGCATATCAGGTAGAAGAGTTCTAGCTTGAAGTGCTGCTTTTCTACATGCGGGGTCCTCTTTTCTTTGTCGTTTCTTAGTAAATATGCATTAAGCATGCCAGTCCTTCAGCTACAGATCATACTATATGCTCTCTCCCAACTTGTCTCGAGGGCTGGGCGTGATGAGCATGGTTAAGCAGTTTCTGCCTGCCTCCTTCTGCAGGTGCTCCCTTTTTTTCTTCTAAGACGAGCCCAGCTAGCCGATCAAAATAGAGTCCCTCAAGGTGAAAGTTGACTTTCTGAAGGTGCCCCTCGGCCTGAAGAAGCCCACTCTGAAAGAGGCAGCGGCTGCCTTGGCGGCTGTCCCGGGGCCTGGGAGACCCAAGTCCATCAACGTGGACCGCTACAAGGCGCGGCGCTCTGACAACATGGACAACGAGTCTCAGTATTCCGGGTACTCCTACAAGTCCGGCCATTCCCGCAGCTCCCGGAAGCACAGGTGAGTCTGCCGGCAGGCTGCACCTTTGGGCCTCCCGCTTTGAGCCAGGGGGAGCAGTTGGTTTAAACCAGGGTTTCCCAAAATTGGGCCTCCAGTTGTTGTTGGACTACAACTCCCATCATCGCTAGCTAGCAGGACCAGTGGTCAGGGATGATGGGAATTGTAGTCCAAAAACCGCTGGAGACCCAAGTTTGGGAAACCATGGTTTAAATTGTTGCAGTGAGCTCTCAGTATGGGGAGACTGCATTAATGTACAAAGCTCTGAGCAACTTGGGTTCAGGGGGTTCCCTTGTCTCTGCCCACCTTGTGTCTAGGAAAAGGAACATTAAGCACTCTTGCACACAGCTCTGTTCTTCGTACATTCTTCCTTATTATTATTATTATTAAATTTAATTTTAAAACAAGTCATAATAATAAACTCCAAACAAAATTAAAAGTTATAATATAAATTTGTCCATTGCTGCAGTGTTACAAAACAATGACAATAAACTTTAATTATACATTACCATATCGAATCCACTGCGCACCTCCATTTTCAAAACCTTGAAACCAAAAGCACCATCAAATCTTATGCACACCCTAGTTTTTGTGAGTGAATTTGACCAAGAAAGATGCACATTACATTCGAGTAAATAAGGATTGGAAATGTTTAATGAGCAAACATGACAATAGGGCTGGGCAGTATATTGATATATTGTCCAAAACCAGTTTGAAGCTCATATTGTGACATCGGTTTTATAGTTTTTGACCGGGCAATATATTGCAAAACATTGTTTGTGTGCATGTGTGAGCTCAGTGGGTTAAGGGCCTGATTCTGTTCAAGGCACCTTCCTGCGGGTCCAACAGATACAGAACTGTGGGGCTGTGTCTGTAGGTGACTGCGAAGACAAGATGGTGGGCTGTAGCTGCCCGGAGGTGCTGAGCAGGGCAGTGTCCTATTTCCTTCCATGGTTCTCAGTGTGCATCTCTTCCTCCCCTCTGCCCATTGCAGAGATCGACGAGAGCGGCACCGTTCCAAGAGTCGAGATGGGAGTCGAGGGGACAAGTCGGTGACCATCCAGGCCCCTGGGGAGCCCCTGCTGGACAATGAGTCAACTCGAGGCGATGAAAGGGTGAGTGGCTTGCGGCCGAGTAAAGAGGGAAGCCCCCCTGCGAGGGCCAGTGGCCGCCACCTCCTGCCCGCCTTTTCCTGGCTGGCTTTCCCAACCAGCTAACACCCAAACAACGAGTGATTTATTCTGAGGTTGGGCTGGGCAAATGTTCCAGGGAACTTCCATGTGCTTTGTTCAGTAATGGAGAGAAGCAGTGACAGGCAAACCTGCACATCAACCTGGATAGCTCAGTTGGTTAGAGCGTGGTGCTGATAACACCAAGGTTGCTGGTTCGATCCCCGTATGGGACAGCTGCATATTCCTGCATTGCAGGGAGTCTAGCGAGAATGATCCTCAGGGTCCCTTCCAACTCTAAAATTCTGTGGTGCTCTGTATTTGGCGAGTCTCCTAATTGGATACAGGTTTCCTGCCCAAAGCGACTCACAGACAGGGAAATTATATGTGCCATGCTGCTGGTGGATCCTATAAACAAATGGAAATGTTCTTTGTGTGGTCAGTCATTTATTTATAATGTAAGTTGGATATGGGCCATATTCTTGTGCTTATAAACTGAAAGACAAAGGAAGGGGAAGTGTTGGGGAAGACTTGGAGGAGGGAGATCGGTTTGACAGTGCCAGGATGAGGAGTTGCCCCCCAATTTACCGCCCACGGATGAGGGCAGTGCATTGGGGCCACCATTCTACTTTAGCCCTAGTATCAATAAGATACTTTCATCATGCTCCGACTGACGTTAAAAGCACCTGTTAGCAAGAAATGTATCAAAAAGCCCTTGGCAATAGGCTTATCGGAGATCAAAAATATTAGGACAGAGGTGTATATGAAACACTTAATACAGAGATAGTCCCATCTGGCCCAGCCAAAATGATCAAGGGGCCGGAGCGATGCTCCTAAGAGGCAAGGTTTTGCAGCATCTGGAACTTTAGAGGAAATGTGAGTAAGGGGTGACATGAAAGAACTTTATGAAATCGTGCTCAGCATGCTTAGAGAAAAGTTTTTCTCCTTCTCTCATAATACTAGAACTCTGGGACATCCCACGAAGTGGAATGTTGGAAGGTTCAGGGCAGACGGAAGAAAGTCCTTCACGTGGTGCACAAACTATTCAACTCACTCTCACGGGAGGCAGGGATGGCTTTAAAAAGAGGGATGGACAAATCTGTGGATGTTAAGGCTATCAACGGCTACTGGCCACGATGGCTCTGCTCTGTTTGCCTCCATGGTCAGAGGCAGCAAATGCTTCTGAATCCCAGTTGCTGGAAAACTGCAGGCGTGAAGAGTTGTTCTTTGTGCTCAGCTCCCACTTGCGGGTTTCCCATTCAGGCATCTGGTTGGTCCCTGTGAGAACAGGACGATGGACTAGATGAGTTATTGACCTGATCCTGCAGGCTCTCACAGGCGTGTGACTAGACAAGGGAGGAGCAGCACCCGTCTGCTGAAGTACACATGCAGAAGCTTTCAGGCAGAGTCAGTCCACCTGGCCTGTTCCTCTCTGCCATTACTGGCACCTATTTGCAGCAGAGGAAAGCTGTGCTCAGCACCCCAAGACTTGACCCTTCTTGGTGCAAGAAGGTGTCCTACCATGAGGTGTCTGCCTGCTCCCTCACCTGCCCCTGCTTGGCCCTTTCCCTTTTTTTGCAGGATGACAACTGGGGAGAGACCACCACGGTGGTGACCGGCACGTCTGAGCACAGCATCTCCCACGATGACATCACGCGCATCACCAAGGACATGGAGGACAGCGCCCACCTGGACTGCTCCCGCCACCTGGGCGTCTCGCTGGGCGGGGCCCTGGCCCTCCTCTCCTTCCTCACGCCCTTGGCCTTCATGCTGCTGCCCCAGCTGCTGTGGGGGGAGCGGCTGGAGCCGTGCGGGACGCCTTGCGAGGGGCTCTTCATCTCGGTGGCCTTCAAGCTCCTCATCCTCCTGCTGGGCAGCTGGGCCCTCTTCTTCCGCCGCCCCAAGGCCTTCTTCCCGCGGATCTTCGTCTTCCGCGCTCTCCTCATGGTGCTCGTCTTCCTCCTGGTCGTCTCCTACTGGCTCTTCTACGGCGTCCGGATCTTGGACTCTCACGACACCAACTACCAGGGCATCGTCCAGTATGCCGTCTCCCTGGTGGACGCCCTTCTCTTCGTCCACTACCTGGCCGTGGTTCTCCTCGAGCTGCGGCAGCTCCAGCCCCATTTCACCCTCAAGGTTGTCCGCTCCACCGATGGGGCAAGCCGGTTTTATAACGTCGGCCACCTCAGGTGAGGAAGGGCTGCAGTGGAGGGTGCACAGTTGGCGGTACAGCTTGTTCTGATCATGATGATGATGACAACGACCTGCCCTTTGCCAGCACGTCCTAGGACGGGTTACAACAATTTAAATTTTTTTAAAAATGGTTCAGACACGTTACATTCACAAGAGTAGAGTGCAGCATGAAAACACACATCTTGGGGTGCTGAAGGCCAGGATTGATTTGTTTGATTGACTTCAGTAAGATTTTTTTTAAAAAAATACATCTCCCATCTGACAGGTAAACAACTATTTGTTGTTGACATCCCCTTTCCAGGGGAGTTTTTAATGGCTGATGTTTTATTGTGCTTTAAATACTTTGTTCGGAGCCGCCCAGAGCAGCTCTGGGGCAACCCAGCCAGATGGGCGGCATATAAATAATGAAATCATTGCTATTGTTGTATTATTAAAATGGATGAAATAAATAACAGGCCGCGGGCACTGGAGACTCCATTAATCAGTCCATCAATTATGCTTCCCTTCATCTGAGGCCCCCCTTTTCTTTCTCTGCCTCCTTGCAGCATCCAGCGAGTTGCTGTGTGGATCCTGGAGAACTACTACCACGACTTCCCGGTCTACAACCCGGCCCTCCTCAACCTCCCAAAGTCCGTTCTCTCCAAGAAGATGTCTGGCTTCAAGGTGTACTCCCTTGGCGAGGGTGAGCGATCCTGGCTCTCTGAATCATAACACCGTAGACTTGGAAAGGGACCCTGAGGCTCATCTAGTCCGGTGTTTCCCAACGTTGTGTCTTCAGCTGTTTTTGGACTACAACTCCCATCATCTTTAACTAGCAAGTGATGATGGGAATTGTAGTCTGAAAACAGCTGGAGAATCAAGTTTGGGAAACACTGAGCTGGTCCAACCCCCTGCAATGCAGGAGTATGCAGCTTTCCCATATGGGGATTGAACCTGCCACCTGGGCATTATCAGCACCGTGCTCTAACCAGCTGAGCTGGGTGTACATGTGAAGCAGTCTTGCAAATTGTCAGACCGTTGACCCACTCAGCCTGTCAGCCTCTTTCCTAGGGCTCTAACCTGTTCCCTTCGGTCTTCTGAATGGGAGGGCTGGGATTTGAACCCAGCATCATAGGAGCCAACTCCTAGAGGCCGAGGTCCCTACACAAGTACACACACACACACACACACACACACACACACACACACACGTTGATGGACATTGCCATTCAAATAGTGTGTGTGCATCATGTCATGTCATTTATTATGTGAGGTGCTGCTTACCTGTCCCCCCCCCATATTTTATTCAAGTTGGTACCCCTTCTGAGCATGCAGTGGCTGCTCTTCCATTGAATTATGCTGCCTCCTCTGGTCCCTGTCCCCCCCTGCCATCCTGCACAGGCCTGCATCTTCACTGCTGTTTCCTCTCCCCTCTTTGGCCACATTCACACCATACATTTAAAGCACTATGATAGAACTTTCAACCATCATGGCTTCCCCCAAAGAATCTTGGGAGCTGTAGTTTGTTAAAACTACTGAGAGTTCTTAGGCGCCACCCCCCCCCCCATTACTCTCCCAGAGTAAAATTTTCCAAAGTTTCCTGGGAAAAGAGGGAATTGATTGTTAAGCCACTCCGGGAATTGTGGGAGGGGAATTGAGATCTCCTAACAAACTCTCAGTGCTCTGTGTGATTGCAAAAGGTGGTGGCCAGAATTTCAAGCCTTCTTGATTCCCTTCTCTGTTCCCGTCCTCCAGAAAACACAACCAACAACTCAACAAGCCAGTCACGGGCTGTCATTGCTGCAGCGGCACGGCGGAGGGACAACAGCCACAACGAGTATTACTATGAGGAGGCTGAGCATGAGCGCAGGGTGCGCAAGAGACGTGCAAGGTATGCGCAAAAGGGGGTGGCTGTGTGTGCCTGTTCGTCCCACAGCAGAAAAGAAGCTGAGCTTGGCTTGCCAAGTCCTTACGGTTGACATTATGCACTGTTAACTCCTCGAGGCAGAGTTGTGAAATTTATGGAAATTCTGGGAAATGGTGCAGTGCTGACTTCCCTAGCGAACCTAAACTTGTCTCATCGGTTTAAAATGCATTCGTTTTATAATGGCTTGTGAAATTGTGCTGTATTTTGCACATTTATGAAATTCACACGGCAACCTTTCCTTCCTTCTGCAAACGTTCTGATACCTTTTGCTCCTTTTCCTTCCCTCCACTCCCTCCTCTCCCCTCACTGTGGCTTTGAGAGGTGAACATGCGATGGGTTCCGCAGTCCATGGCTTACTATATCACAGGACCCCTCTTGTCCCGACAGGCTGGTGGTGGCTGTGGAGGAGGCCTTCACTCATATCAAACGGCTCCAGGAGGAGGACCAGAAAAACCCGCGGGAGATCATGGACCCGCGAGAGGCGGCGCAGGCCATCTTTGCCTCCATGGCCCGGGCCATGCAGAAGTACCTGAGGACCACGAAGCAGCAGCCGTACCACACAATGGAGAGCATCCTGCAGCACCTGGAGTTCTGCATCACACACGACATGACGCCTAAGGTAGCAAAGGGAGATCAGAGGTCCAGCCGAGATAAATGGCTGTCCTGTTAATGTTATATAGGATTCTTCTACAGAAACTGCATCATATCCCACTAAATTATATGTGGGGCAGACCTACTGAAATTAATGGGCCCAAGAGAGTCATGCCCATTAATTTTAATGGCCCTTGATCAGGATTAATAATGGTGTGCAACCTAGAATATTTGGGTGTGGGTATGTGTCCGAGAGGGACTCGGGTGACATTGTGGGTTAAACCACAGAGCCTAGGACTTGCCAATCAGAAGGTTGGCGGTTCGAATCCTGTGACGGGGTGAGCTCCCATTGCTCTGTCCCAGCTCCTGCCAATGTAGCAGTTCGAAAGCACATCAAAGTGCAAGTAGATAAATAGATACCACTCCAGTGGGAAGGTAAACGGCGTTTCCGTGCGCTGCTCTGGTTCACCAGAAGCGGCTTAGTCATGCTGGCCACATGACCCGGAAGCTGTACTCTGGCTCCCTCGGCCAATAAAGCGAGATGAGCGCCGCAACCCCAGAGTCAATCACGACTGGACCTAATGGTCAGGGGTCTCTTTACCTTTACCTATGTGTCCAAGAGTCACTGTTGTTGCTATGCCATTTTGGCATAGTTAAGTAGAGCTCTTCTGGATCATAACAAGGCTTGGACCTGGTCCGTTGTCCTGACGGCAGCAGCCCATCCCATAGCTGCATATCCCCATCAGCCAGCATTCAGAGATAGACTGCCTCTGAACTTGAAGGTTCAAATTTAGCTCTTAAAAAAATGGCTTTTCTTCTGTTTAAATAATAACACTCAGCAATTTTCCAAAGTGACCTTCAACACTGAGGAAACCCAGACCCTAGCCATTCAGGCTTTAAAGCCCAAGAGCAGAGGCAACCTCCCCCAACTTATGGGGCCTTCAAATGTCTGTTTGGACTCTTATCTCTCATCATCCCTGATCACTGGCTGTTGCTGGCTGGGACAGATGGCTTGGGGAAAGGCTGGGTTTATCTTTTGATTTTTAGTCTTCGTTAATTAATGTGGTAGCCACCTTTTTTAAGTGCAACAGAACGGTGGGATATAAATATTTTTAGTCATTCCAGACTCTTGTGTATGTGTGCGGAACATGACTTCAGGTGTCTGAGCTATAGAGGAGCCAAAAGCGCTTTGCCCTCATTCAGATGGCCTGCCTAAGAGGGGTGTTGTCATGGGGCCAAGTCTCAGTGAGGGCAGTAGCTTCCTGCTTGCCCTAGCACTACCACCATTCAGATATATGGTAAAGGGTCAATAAACAGGTTCCCAAATGCTTGTTTGGTCTATAAGTCTGAAAGTGCTAAAGATACCTGCTCCAGAGACTGTTGGGTTAAAAAAAACAAAAACACACCAATGGCGCCCCCTAGCAGCGTGAAGCATGTTTGCAAGTACTGTTAAAGTTGGCCTACGCTGCTTCTTGGTGACGTCTCCCCAGCTTTTGCAGCCTGCAAACAAGCGCTAAGCTCTTTCAAGCAGGATTTTAGTTTTTGCCATGTGTTAGGAGGTGCAGTTGAATTGGAGTTGGAAGGTGGGGTTAAATATTTCAACTTCAAGTAAAGCTTCATTCATTGGATATTGGATTGTAGGATATTGTCCTTACATTCAGAGCCAGATTACAGATTCCTTGACATGATAGAAGTCTATTAATGACATGATGGAAGTTTGCAAAATTATGCAGGGCATATAAAGAGAGAGGACAGAGGAAACATATTTCTCCCCTCTCTTGCAACTCATGTGGACCCTCAGTGAAGCTGAAGATAGTAGTAATAATAATAATTTTATTATTTATACCCTGCTCATCTGGCTGGGTTTCCCCAGCTGCTCTGGGCAGCTTCCAGCACATGTACAAACATAACGTCAAACGTTTTAAAAGTACTTATTCATGGAGTGCACAGTTGAACTGTGGAACTCTCTCCCACAAGAGGCAGTGGTGGCCACCAACTTCAATGGCTTTAAAAGAGGGTTGGACAAGATTCATGGAGGGAGAGGGCTATCGATGGCTATGAGCCATGATGGCTGTGCTTTGCCTCCACGGTTGGAGGCAGCAATGCTGCTGGATTCTGGTTGCTGGAAACCAGAGTGCTGTTGTGCTCGGATCCTGCTCGGGGGCTTCTGTTTGGCCACTGGGATAATAGGATGCTGGACTCGATGGGCCATTGGCCGGATGCAGCTGGGCTCTTCCTCTGTTCTTAAGACTTGTCCCTTCTCTCTTTTCTCCCGGCAGGCCTTCCTCGAGCGATACCTGACGGCTGGGCCCACCATCCAGTACCACAAGGACCGCTGGCTGGCTAAGCAGTGGACTCTTGTCAGCGAGGAGCCAGTGACCAACGGCTTGAAGGACGGCGTGGTCTTTGTCCTGAAGCGCCAGGACTTCAGTCTGGTGGTGAGCACGAAAAAGATCCCCTTCTTCAAGCTCTCGGAGGAGTTTGTGGACCCCAAGTCGCACAAGTTTGTGATGCGGCTTCAGTCAGAGACCTCCGTGTGAATTGAATCTGGGGTTTAGGGGATTGGATGCCAGAGGAGCGATTTGCAACGGGGAGCAGCCCTGGTGCACAACACCTGCCTCGTAGGAATTTAGAGGAGATTTCCAAGCTCGGGGTTTGGAAAGAGGCATTTCCACCAAGTTTTCCTTCCTGGAGTTGGGAGTTTGCACCTACGACCTTACATCTTCTGATGCCGCCATCGATGGACCTTTCTTCACAATGCCAGTGGAGGGGTGGGGTGGGTGGATGTGCCCCCTTTTTTCTTGTACCTCCTTTTTCATATTTTTTTGGTAGCAAAATTCCCAGGAGCCCAGAAGGTGTGCAAGTGGAAAGGATGGTATCTTCCCCACCCTCCCCCAACCCCTGGCCTGGTCCCGAGTGAAGTGATTGAAATTTATGGTGCCAAATTTTAAGGGCTAATTCCGTTCACTGTCTTCACCAGCATCACCAAACACAGTTGTGGGTCTGAGGAACCTTCTTGAATGTTTGTTTGGTTGTTGTTTTTTAAAAAAGAACACAAACCGACTCTAACCTCACAGTTCTGGCCTTGGAAATATCACCTGATGCTGTTGTAGTGGTTGCCGTCCATCTTCTCTCGTTCTCTGTGCTTGCACAAGACTTTTGCGGAGTCCCACGAAAGCAAATGCCTATGGATGGTAGGCTTGTGTGGCTGCTATTTTTTGTAATCTTCCATCATTCCATGGCACATGCAAAAAAACAACAAAAAACCCCAACCCAGCCAGCTCTCTCGAATTTTTGCAAGTCCGATCTAAAACCATCCTGTTTCAACTTCCTCTGGGGTCTTTCTCTGACTCAAGTTTTTAAACACACAAAGACACATTTTGAGGGGAGATGGGGTGAGGTTTTTAAAATGGTGACTTTTTTTTTTAAGATGCTGTTCTCTTTTAAAGGACATCCTGTGTGTTGTAAATAGTTGACTTCTCTAGGGTGACCCAAACTGTCTCCTGGCTGGGTCTTGTCTCCTTGACTCTTCCCTGTGGTTTGACCCTTGGTTTGACTTGAAAGAAGGCTGTTACATTCTGTAGGACTTGGGTATAAGCTGATAAACTGACCCCCCCTCCCCTTTCTGGAGTGTGAGAGGCTGCTTCTTTTGCACAAGCCCCTTTGAAATGAACGGCAGCCCCCACGAGCGGGTGAGCGTTCCTGTTCATTTTGACAAGGCTTCTGCAGGGAAACTGCCCAGTGGACCCTGCCCTCTTTGAAAACCACAGCAAAATGCCATGAATTTCAGAGTTCTGGAGCAACCTTGCTCCCTCCACGTTGATTTTTTTCTCTCCAGATCCTCACTATTACGTTTTTTAATTTTTTATTTTAAAAAAGCAGGTTCTCCCCTTATAACAGCTGCACTGAAGAAAATGATCCAGTGTGAGAAATGGGCAATTTGCAGCTTTGCTCTTCAAGCAGGCCAGCTTTCTGTCTGTGTTGTGGGGTGGTTTGCCTCCACTCCACCTTGAACAGCCTTGGTGGAGAGACAGAACATCTGGGTGAAGCTGCTATCTTACCATCCCAGAAAGGAGCCCCCCCTCCTCCCCTGTTAGTTTCCCCAGGCAACCATCCCCCCTGCCTTGAGCTTTCATGCAGCTCCGCCAGCCGCCTCAATGCCTTTTGGGAAATCCAAGAACAAAGATGTTGATTGGCTGCCCCCCCCCCCCCCCGCCGCCAGAGCCTGATGAGGTCACACTGGGCCGTAACTCCCATCGTCCTCTTTGTGCTTTAAATGTTTATTGTTCTGTCTGGCTATTTCTTCTGGAAGAAATTCCTCCCCGCCCCCCCTTTGCTACAAGGAATATACCTCAGGAGTTTTTCTGCTGAGGTTCTTTCCATAGCTGCGCTGCAGTTTCAACTTACCTAGGGTTGTTTTTTTAAAAATAAAATTAATTATTATTAAAAGTAGGTGTCGGGTTGCTCTCAGACTAATTGCAGTGTGAGAGCCGCTCAAGCCTTCTCTCTTTGTGGGTGGTTCTTCTTGGGGGGGTTGGTAAGGATGTTGGGGTGAGAAATCTCAAATGGCATCTTTGGCCAGGCTCCTCCCCTCCAGCCATTTTAGACTACAACTCCCATCAGCCTCAGCCCATGCAGTTATGCTAGCTGTGGATGATGGGCGTTGTAGTCCAAAACAACTGGAGGGCCACAGCCTGGCTAGGGCTCTCAGATTGTATCACTGTGATGTTTAAATTTTATTTCACTGTGGTTTTTTTATTGTTTCATTTTTTATATATATTTGGAGCACGATCCAGCCAGAAGGTGAAGCACTTTCTCAATTATAATTCCCTTTGAGTACAGCATCTCTCCTGTTGAAACCAATGTGCAACGCTATGGCTGGATTCGGCCTTTTTTAATTTTAATTATTAAAGGAGGACTTTGAAAAGATGTTTCCTTAAGTTGGATCTGTCCGGTTTCGGGTGGGGCGGGAGGTGAGGGCAGTAAGCATTCTAGAACCTTCTTTCCCTGCTGTGGAATCCCACATGTTGAAACAGGAGACTTCCTGATAGAGGCCGCTTAGGACCTCTTCGGCACATCTTGGTTTAAAGGGCACACCTGAAAATGTGAAGTGCAAACGTGATCTGTTGGCTACAGTCGTGACCTCGGGGGGGGGGGTAGCTGTAACTCGCTGCCCATTGGGAAGCCCAGTCTTGCTAGTTGTGAAATGGCTTTCAGAAACTTGAAAATGGGGCCTACATGCATCAGTGCGACATTTCTCCCCCTCCCAAGTTGCATTGGTGAAGATTTGCCCCCCTTTTCTCTGCCAGATGGCGCCTCCTGTTGCGCCATCTCCTGCCGTTTTTTGGGGGGTCTTCATTTTTCTACCTATGATGTCTGCTTCACTTCTGCCATAAACCTGCTTTAAACTAATGGCAACATCTTTCCCCCCTCCCCGTGTGGCTTAGCCTACGATACATGCAGATCTCCTTGATCTGGCACTGGTGGGTGCTAACACCTCTACCAGAGCAGCCGAAAGGTGACCCGAGAGCCACGTAGCAGCCCCTTGAACCCCAACTGCAGCCTTCACCAATCTGATGCCCTTCAGATGGTTTGGACTGGGGCTGATGGGAGTTGTAGTCCTAAACGTTTGGCAGGCACTGGATTGGTAAAGTCTGGTGGGTTCTCTGTAGCCTCTGGCTGGGTTGGGTCCTGCACCTGTTTAATGAGTTCAGGAAGTCTTAGTTTACTCTTAGAGCAGTGGTTACCAAACTTGGGTCTCCAACTCCCACCATCCCTAACTAGTAAGACAGGGATGATGGGAACTGTAGTCTAACAACAGCTGAAGATCCAAGTTTGGGAAACACTGTCTTAGAGGAAGCAAGAGCTGGTTCTGTATGTACAAGTGTGCAGGTGAGTCCATTTCTTAAGAGGCTTCAGGCATGTTATGTAGTGATCCATTTGTGTAGTAATAATTCTCTTGTCTTGGGCGATGTGCTTTCTCTGGCTGGTGGCTGGTCGCATCCTCCTAGGGGTGGTTGCCACATCGTGGCAAAAGCTCAAAGCGAGCCAGAAGTCACAAAATGCTCACAAGCCCAGGCAAGCTCCAAGTTTGTGGCAACACATCTTCAGTGGAGAGATCTTGAATATACGGTGGTCTTTCCAACCTGGTGCTCCCTTGCTGGGTTGGCCTGCTATTCCTGTCACCCCCAGGCTGCCGTTCTGTGGTCCTGCTCACATTGCAGGGCTGTGATGGCTGGGGCTGATGGGAATTGTAGTCCAGAGCAGCTGGCAGAGCTGGGGAAAGCGGATTTAACCTGTCCCTGCTTGTATCTCTGATCTTGGCCTTCCAGGTGTGACTTCACTGCCATTTCACATTGTCACAGAGGAAACCCTTCCGGCTTGATCGCAAGTAGTGGTTTGGCAAGAGGACAAAGTTTCAGTGGCAGAAATACCACCAACTCCCCCTCTCGTATTGAAAATGTAAAATAGAAACTTCTTCCCCCCTGCCTCAAACACACACTGAATTTAGGAAAATACCTTTTTGTTTCTTTTTTAAAGACAGAGTTGGAAAAACCTTGTGCATGCGTGTAGAAAATTGTAAAATGTAAAATTGTTTTTTAATATATAAAATTTTGTTTTTACAGTTTGCAGTGGTACTAAGCATTATTGCAATGTTAGTAAGGTTTTTTTTCATAAATCTAGGAAGTAAAACTGTACATTTTTTTTAAAAAAAATAAAATAAACACCTTTTGGAACTTTTGAAATTCCTTTTTCCCCACCCCCTCTTTCCAATATTTACAGGAGAGGTGTGAGATTGAAATGTGTTTCTAGCTCAGCCGAAGTCCCCTTTGCAAGTTAAATGTGGAAACTCCAATCTGACCCCTGATAAATATCAAGGACTGTTCTGCTGAGAAAGGTGAGGCAGAGTGGATGATAACAGCAGCACCGCAAATCAACTTTCACAGATAAGAGGCTGGCAGGTGACAACCTGCCTAGAGCCATCCAAAGAGTTTAGTTGTGGAACTGGCATTTCAGGTTCCCCATTCACAACACATACTGGCGTCTCTCATTGATTCGTTCATCATTAAAATCACTGTAATAGAAATGGGGTTCTGAGTGGGCCTGAATCTTAGGTAGCAAGTGGCTGGGAGTCGAAGTCTCCTTTGCTATTTTGCCCTTGTTTGATTCGGTTACAGCTGTTCCTACTGCTTCTTAAAATCCACAACAGCAAACTACGACTCTTTCCCCCAAGCCGCAGGCTGCTCTGAATGCTTCTGCTGACTGCTCTTGTTGCCGTCACTCAGGGCAAAATGCAGCACATTAATGGCTTAATTAAATGCCATTATGGGCAGAGTGCATCTCTCTGGGATGAGGTGGTGGAGCAGGAAAGCAATTGACTGGAAGGTCGCTTCACTGAGCACAGTGGCTGCGCTGCAATTGTCAGAGTACGCTGTTCAGTCCGCTGTCTCTTTGCTATTTGAGACAGAATGCTGGGTGAATTCCCTTTTTTTAAAAAAAGGGATGTTTTATTTTATAAAATGGATATACTGCTGGCTTGCAAAAAAAGAAAGAAAGAAAGACAAACCTCAAAGCGGTTTAAAAGAGGAAGAAAACAATAAAATTATCATTGAAAACAACTGCATAAAACAGTCAAGTACTAATTAAAAACAGATTGAAGCTCCTGTAAACGTTCTGTGTATCTGGGTTGGCTTGTCTAAACAAAAGTGTGTTTTGCAAGCACTGAAAAGAGCACAGTAAAAGGATCCGCCTGATGTCAATAGGCAGGGCGTTCCAAAGTTGAGGATTTCTATAACAAGATTCATATAAATGTGGAATGAGCACCCGTGGCACCCTTATCAGTTCCCGTCAAGTGTGCATATGTTAAGGTAATCTGGGTAAAACTGGTCCCTAAGTGTTGGCATTTGCCTGTCTTTTCTTCCAGCAGTTGGAAGCCAAGCACATGGGTACATCAACTTTTGCCGACCTGGAGTCCTGCAGATAGTCTGGACTCGCAACTCCCGTCTGCCCCAGCAGTTAGTACAAACTGGCCATCATGCCAGGGAGTTCTGGGAGCTGGGAGTCTAAAACATCTTGGAGGGCTGACGAAGGCTGCGTACTGAAAATGTGGCAATTGAGGGTGTTGTGCACTGCGTACTAGTAGCGTGCAAGCCAGTGCTACTCTGCCCTGTGCTCTGAAAGATGAGTGCTCAATTGTGGGGTTTTTGCTTAATAACGGAGGTGTTTTGCCCCGCAGAAAGGAATTAATTTTCAGCTAAATAAACTCTAATTTTGGTGATAATATCAGCAATAAAGGGTTTATAATACAAAACCCAAAAGCACGAGGGGAGGAGTTGAAAAAGAAAAGAGCTCTCATCCATGCTGGCAGATTTACTGAAGCTGGAAAAAGATATCCCCAGAGGAATTTAGGATCAGCCTTAAAAGGCTGTTGTCAAAGTAGTCTTTTTATCTATTGCTTATCACACGAAACAATGGAAATTCAATTAATTCCTACTTCTACACATCTTTACACCCTCCAGTGACTGGCTTATAATAGCTGGATTGCAATTGCAAGGATCTCCGAGCAGCCTTGAATGCCATGTTACTGAACTCACTGGTTTGCTTGCTCTGCAAGAGCATGTCCCATACAGATTTTTTTAAATCCAAGAGGGCGTCTATTCTGTTGGCTAAATATTTGAAGAACCTTAAGAGGAGCCTTGCTGGATCTGGTCAATGGCCCATCTAGGCCTGCAGCCTGTTCTCCCAGGGGCCAGCCACATGCCTCTGGGAAGCGCTTGCAAGCAGGACCTGAGCACAAGAACACTCCTGTGGTTTCCAGCAATTGGGATTCAGAGGCATACCGTGCCCTGAAGGCTGGCTTGGGGGTTGCTTCTGAAGCCTAGGACTGCACCAGCCCTGCGCTCAGCAGGTGGGAGAAGGGGGCCCTACATGAGGATGAATTTTGAAATCCCACATGTACATCTATATGCATATAGAACCCCTTCTCAAGTGTGCCAGATGTGGCCGGTGGGGGCCTGGCTACCAGGTACAGTGGGAGTTGGGGCTGGCTGTAAATTCCTCACAAATAGTTTAAAGGTGTTTATGGGATTTATGGATTACCTGAACCCCACTTACCTGCACCTCATAGTGAGCATGTGGAATGTCAAACTCATATATATGCATTTATGTACATGTCCATTGCACAGAAAAAAATTATATTGACATCAATGTTTGGACACTCCTATACAAACTTTAGGGACGTGGGTGGCGCTGTCGGTAAAAGCCTCAGCGCCTAGGGCTTGCCGATCAAAAGGTCGGCGGTTCGAATCCCCGCGGCGGGGTGCGCTCCCGCTGCTCGGTCCCAGCGCCTGCCAACCTAGCAGTTCGAAAGCACTCCCGGGTGCAAGTAGATAAATAGGGACCGCTTACTGGCGGGAAGGTAAACAGCGTTTCCGTGTGCGGCTCTGGCTCGCCAGAGCAGCGATGTCACGCTGGCCACGTGTCCCGGAAGTGTCTTCGGACAGCGCTGGCTCCCGGCCTATAGAGTGAGATGAGCGCACAACCCTAGAGTCTGGCAAGACTAGCCCGTACGGGCAGGGGTACCTTTACCTTTTTATACAAACTTTACTATTATTGTTTAGGTCCAAACCATGCATTTAGGTTGGGTAGAAGGGGTGGATGAAGATGTTTAGTTTGTCCCCTTTCTCTCATCCATATGCAACTCCAAAGAACAAGTTTTTGCAAATATCAACACAATAAGAAAAAAATCACTAAACATACATGTACAGAGGGCCACCGTCCCATCCCTAATTCTTATTACCAAAGTATATCATAGAATCAGAGTTGGAAGGGACCCTGAGAATCATCTATGCCTGCAATGCAGGATTTAATAAATTTAATACAGTGGTACCTTGGTTCTCAAATTTAATCCGGTTCAGAAGTCCATTCGACTCCTGAAATGTTCGAAAACCAAGGTGCGGCTTCCGATTGGCGCAGGTGCCCCGGAAACAATAACAAACAGCCACATCAGCCATTCAGCTTCCGTAAAACGTTCGAAAACTGGAACACTTCTGGGTTTCTGGCGTTTGGGAGCCGATTTGTTAACTAAGCCATTCGAGAACCAAGGTACCACTGTACCTGTGTTTAAGTTTTTATTTTAATATTGCCACCCCAGTGATGTTGTTACACTTGCATTTGTTTAGTTTGTGTTTGTGAATAATAAAAATGCAACAATAAAAAAGAAACACCGGCTATCTGAAGACCTAACTGCCAGGTAAGAGAGCACAATCATTGAGACCAATGACAACTCCCACAAGCCAACCTTTTCTGAGCCAAGGCAAAAGCAGGGCTGTGTCTCCTCAGGAAGAAGTGGAGAAGGTGTGCTAGAATGAAGAAGAATATTCAGTAGCTGGGGGAAATAAATTAGTGTTTTTGTCCCTGAAGATAGAGCACTCATTGAAAAATGTGGGCACATTGGCTAGTTTATAAATATCTGGCTTTTTTAATAAAAAAAAACCATTCAAAAGTTCAATAAATGCTTCCTCTTGCACTCAAGATTGACCCCCCAATCGTGTGTGTGTGATGTCTCAAGCGGGGCTCCAATCCTACTTTAAGCTGAACACATGCCATAATTAAAATCAATAGTACGAATTGAATCAACTGCTTCAAGGCTCCCATATGTTGGTAAGATGTGTTGGAAAGAAGAGCTTTTCACCTGCCCTGTATAAAAGGAACTTGGATGGGCCTCCTGGGTTAGGGAAGTCCACATTTTGCCTGCTCATCTGGCTGGTGGCCCTGTGTGCTTGAAGCCTCTTCGTTATCATTTATAGTTGGACACTTGCACCATTTCCAGAGGCTCCTCAGGAATTGGCTTGAAGGCCTGTGGGGGGAGGAGAACAAAGGAATGCAAAAGCAGAAACGATAAAATTCCCCTTCTAGAAACATGGGAGGCACTTGTGGCTATGTTGGAACACAAATGGTCCATAAACATATAATTATTGATTTGAACCACTTCATGAGGCAGTCTTGCTTGAAAACTGGAACAGAAGGGTTTTGAAAATGAACAAACACCCATCGTGTCGTTACTCCTTTTCTACATGGGTCTTTTTCACAAAGTGCTAGGATGCCTTCCTACCATATTTTGAAAGGAAGCAGTGGTTGGGTCCCTCCTTGCCAGGGGGTAATATAAAGCCAAATTACCTCAGGATTCAGCTGTGTGGCTTCTTCTGCAGTAGGAAAGTCGGAATCTGCAAATCAAAAGTTCAAAATCAGCAATGATCTACAACAGCTGTGAGTAAGTTTTGGCCTTCCAGGCGTCACTGAACTACAACTCCCATCAGCAAGTATGGCCAAGGGCATGGGATGATGGGAGCTGTAGTTCAGTGGCACTTGAAAGGCCAAAGCTTCCCCACACCTGATCTGCAGTCAACCCTCAGCTCTGAGCATCTCCCATCTCCAGTGAGGGGATACAAATACTGGCTGCCTTTGGAGGCTGTTGTCAAGGTTGTTGAGGTAATGTAGGCAGAACAAATTTCAAGGTGCTCTGTAGAGGCTTAGCAATGTAATAAAACATGGCTCTACTGGACTTGTTAAAAAAGCTCTGCATGGATATTTTCATACCTGATGATTCAATGATAGATACTGTCCTGCTATGGCTTCCTATGGAGAGAGAGAGAGAGAGAGAGAGAGAGAGAGAGAGAGAGAGAGAGAGAGAGAGAGAGAGTATATTCATTTAGTAATACTGAGAATGCCGTAAATCTTGTGTGTGTGCACAGCAGTATTTTCTGCACAGGAAGGATGAAGTGCAAGATCTAAAAATAGACTGTATCTATTTTTAAATCCTTGAAGTATTTAAGAGAATCGATTTAGTTATTCACCTGCCAGAAAGTTTCATAGCGCGGTGGGCAGAATATTCCTTGAGTGATAACACCATGGCATTGTGAATTTGCAACGAAGGATGAACTCTCTGATACTGGGTGCCACAGCACAGCATATCTGTCAACCTGATGCCCACCAGATGTTTTTGCTGGCAACTGTTGGCTTCACCCAGTGTGGTTCTTGTGCTAGTTGGGACTAATGGAAGTTGTAGTGTAGAGGAAGTGGAGTTGTAGCACACGCTCATGTCCACCCACCAGGGGGCTCTGTAACTCAAAGGCTCTCCTTCCACCTCCACCCTTCCTAAGGACTGCCATTTTGGCCACAATCACACCAAGAATTCTGGGAGCTGTAGTTTGCTAAGGGCAATGAGAGTTGTTAGGAGACCCCTAGAAGAGGCGGACTTAGGGCAGAGCCTTTGGGGCACCACAGGGGGCTCCGCAGCTATGAGCTAGAATGGAAGATGAGAGGCAGAGGGGGGCACCAAATTGTTATGTTGAACAGGGTGTTGCTGAAATTTCAGACCTGCCCCCCAGGTCCGCTACTGCCCCATGTCCCCTTGTGGAGCTACAATTCCCAGAGTGGTTTAACAACCAATCCCTCTTCTCAGGGAACTCTGAGAATTGCAGATCTGGGAAGAAAATAAGAGGCCTCCTAATGACTCAGCGTTTCCGTGCGCTGCTCTGGTTCGCCAGAAGCGGCTTAGTCATGCTGGCCACATGACCCGGAAGCTGTACGCCGGCTCCCTCGGCCAATAAAGTGAGATGAGCACCGCAACCCCAGAGTCGGCCATGACTGGACCTAATGGTCAGGGGTCCCTTTACCTTTACCTTTTACCTAACGACTCTCAGGGCCCTTAACAAACAAATGACAGGAAGCCATGAAGTTTCTTTGCTAAGCAAATGAAGCACCAAGTCTCACCTCTTCCTCTCTTCCTTCTGTACATGAGGAACAGGATCAGCAATAGGACCAGAACGAGCAAAAGTGGAATTAAGTACTTAGCGTACAAGAATGTTGATGCTCCTTGATTGAGAGTTGAAGGATCTGGAGTAACAGAGTGAATAAGAGTGAATTTCAGATTACATATGGCAACCAAAATTTGCTGGGTGTTGTAAACATCTCCTGATGGACACTGCAACGCCCATCAGCCACCACCAGAATGTCCATATCGCCATGCTGGCTGGGGCTGATGGGAGCTGTGGTCTAAAATGGCCAGCGGGCACCAGGTTGGTGAAGGTATCCCTAAAGTATCCTGGCCACAAACCACTCAAGCTCTTTAAGGAGGGTTTAAGCAGTGGGAGACCACAAGTACCAAGGAATTTCTCCTGTGCATGGCTCATTTAAATGCACAGCTGTTGTACCAATAATGGTCCACCAGGTATTGCTGCTAAGCTGGTTTCTTTTGGACTCTGAACTCTCCCACTTCCTTTGCTCGTAGGCTGTGGCTCAAATGATGCATTTCATGGGATTCCATTACAGTGGTACCTCGGGTTAAGTACTTAATTCGTTCTGGAGGTCCGTTCTTAACCTGAAGCTGTTCTCAACCTGAAGCACCACTTTAGCTAATGGGGCCTCCTGCTGCTGCCATGCCACCGCCACACGATTTCTGTTCTCATCCTGAAGTAAAGATCTTAACCCAAGGTACTATTTCTGGTTTAGCGGAGTCTGTAACCTGAGGCGTATGTAACCCGAGGTACCACTGTATTATTTCCTCTTTGACTTTTCTTAAAGGCGAAGCAGTCCTGAGCAATCGGGGTCTCAGGGCACTTCCAGACTGTCGCTGTTTTGAGATGGGAATCATATACAGTGGAACCTCGGTTTTCGAACGTAATCCGTTCTGGAAGACTGTTCAACTTCTGAAGCATTCGAAAACTGAAAACTCAATACGGAAGCCTCAATACAATAAAGAAACTCAAAACAGAAGCCACCTTGGAAGTTTGACTTCCGAGGCGCATTCGAAAACGGAAGCATTTACTTCTGGGTTTATGGTATTTAGGTTCCAAATGGTTTGTTGACGGAGACGTTCGAAAACCAAGGCTCCACTGTAATGGAAAATTCTGGTTGCACATTTATTGGGAGGCAGAAGAAGCCCTTTCCAGCGGAGGAAGGCTGGGTGGATGGATGGATGGAAGGAAGAGACTGCTTAACCTCGTCCCTGCTGGTCATTTCCCAGCTCAGAATCGCCCTCCTCAATCCACCTTTTCATCTACAGATGAAATACATGAGGAAGCTACAGAAACCCAGAATTGTCGCCTCCTCATTGGGAAGGGCCATTTTGAGCTGGAAAAGAAGCAGTGCGAAAGCAGTCTCTATACTTTCTGGTAGCCTGAGCTTGTCTAGGATAATTTTAGGATTTTTAAAATACCACCCCGCTACCCAGAAACAAAATATGGGTTTGTGTTTTGTGGGTTTTTGAGGTGCCTGATGTCACTCAGGTGTGAACATTCCATGACATCATGCCCACTAAGCCAATAGTAAGAGATACAGGGAAGAGTGGCATTCTCTGTAGCCAAGCAAGATATAACCACTAACAGTCACATTTTAAGTCTCTTGGGAATAGACTGCCACCCCCCCACCCCCACTTTACAACACAGTGTTGATGTGGGCTTCTGTGTGTCTCCCTTGTGGAAATTCAATATGGCAGCTTGCCTCACCATGGCAGTGATCTCTCAGGGAAACGGTGCTGGAGTTTTGACTCTGCTTGTTGCGCACAGTGCAGGTGTAATCCCAGGTTTGATCTGGGGGCTTCTGAGTGATGTGTAGAGATGGTTCCTCAGAGAGAACCATCCCCATTTCAGAAGTCGACCAGGCGTAAGTCACGTCCTCTCCTTCCCCTCCAGTTACCACACAGTTCAAGGTGACATTGCAGGTCGCATTCACTGAGTGGATGGTGATGGTTGGCTTCAGCAGCCTTCCTTCGGGAGAGAAAATTAGGAGATTCAGTCACTTTATGTGCTGGACAAAATCATATGAGCTGTTTTTGAATAACGAATCCATTTCATACTTGGGGCATTGTGGTAAAACTGATATGCTGGAGCAGACCAAATGTCAACATAGGACAGCGGGCAGACAAGAGACTTGATGGAATCCAATAAACAGCCCTTACCCAATGTATGCCCTCAGCACCTGGTAGGCAGGGATATACTGCCTCCGAAAATGGAGGTTCTCTTTAGCTATAATGCCTAATATTTAGTGACTGATAAGACTCTCTTGTAGGATGAGATAGAATATTAGCTTTGTGCTCATCGAATGTTTGCTGTTTCATTATGTTTTTATATGTGTTGGAAGCCGCCCAAATGGGGGGGTATTATTATTATTAAGGTAAAGGGGCCCCTGACCATTAGGTCCAGTCGTGGCCGACTCTGGGGTTGTGGCGCTCATCTCGCTTTACTGGCCGAGGGAGCCGGCATTTGTCCGCAGACAGCTTCCGGGTCATGTGGCCAGCATGACTAAGCTGCTTCTGGCGAACCAGAGCAGCGCACGGAAACGCCATTTACCTTCCCGCCAGAGCAGTACCTATTTCTCTACTTGCACTTTGATGTGCTTTTGAACTGCTATGGTACCACTCTATAAACAGTCAGAGCTTCCCCCAAATAATTATGGCAACTGTTGTTAAGGGCACTGAGAATTGTTAGGAGGCCCCTATAAACCTCACAAAGTGACAGTTCCCCCAAGTTCCCTGTGAAGAGGGATTTACTGTGAAACCACTCTGCGAATTGTAGCTCTTGGAGGGGAATTGGGGGTCTCCAACACACACATAATCACACCTGGCACTTACTGCCTTGATATTCTGTTTCGCTCTTTACAGTGGGGTCAGGCAGCGTCTTGATGATACCCAAGACTCCATTGGAGGGGTCTGTTCTATTATAAGTTGGCCACAACGTGAAGGACTCGTTTTGTTGCTGTGTCGCGTTGACAAACTCAGCTTGGAGATGTTTTGTTTGGCCATCTTTGGAGGGATGTTCTGATTCCTCTGCTTGATGAGCTAGATTAAGGAAGGAAGGAATGTTAATGTCGGGGATGTCTCGAATATGCCTTCTGATGAAGAAGAATGTTTGTTTGATTGTTTGTTTGTTTCATAAAATTAGAACATTGCTTGATTGCAAACAGAACCAAAACTCTCAGAGTGGTTTACAACAATAATAAAACAAATAAAATTATCAGAAAAAAACTGTCCAAAACAACAATAAACACAGAAAAACCAGCAATAAACTAAAAACAGATATAATAATAATAATAAATAATAAATTATTCATACCCCCGAACATCTGGGTGAGTTTTCCCAGCCACTCTGGTCGGCTTCCAATAAAATATCAAAAATACATTAAAACATCAGTCATTAAAAACTTCCCTAAAAGTCAGGTAGTTGTTTATTTCCTTAACATCTGATGGGAGGGCATTCCACAGAGTGGGCACCACTACCGAGAAGGCCCTCTGCCTGGTTCCCTGTAACCTCACATCTCACAGTAAAGGAACCGCCAGAAGGCCCTCGGCGCTGGATCTCAGTGTCCGGGCAGAACGATGGGGGTGGAGACGCTCCTTCAGGTATACTGGGCCAAAGGCGTTCAGGGTCAGCACCAACACTTTGAATTGTGCTTGGAAACATATTGGGAGCCAATGTAGGTCTTTCAGGACCGGTGGTATATGGTCTCGGTGGCCACTCCCAGTCACCAGTCTAGCTGCCGCATTCTGGATTAATTGTAGTTTCCGGGTCACCTTCAAAGGTAGCCCCACGTAGAGCACATTGCAGTAGCCCAAGCGGGAGATAACTAGAGCATGCACTACTCTGGCGAAACAGTCTGCGGGGAAGTAGGGTCTCGGCCTGCGTACCAGATAGAGCTGATAAACAGGTGCCCTGGACACAGAATTGACCTGCGCCTCCATTGACAGCTGTAAGTCCAAAATGACTCTCAGGCTGAAAACCTGGTCCTTCAGGGGCACAGTTGCCCCATTCAGGACCAGGGAGTCCCCCACACCTGCCCGTCCCCTGTCCCCCAAAAACAGTACTTCTGTCTTGTCAGGATTCAACCTCAATCTGTCAGCTGCCATCCACCCTCCAACCGCCTCCAGACACTCACACCGGACCTTCACTTTCATTTGAAAGAGAGGTAGAGCTGGGTACTATCTGCATATTGATGAACATCCAGCCCAACCCCCTGATTATCTCTCCCAGCTGCTTCATGTAGATGTTAAAAAGCATGGGGGAGAAGATGAAACCCTGAGGCACCCCACAAGTGAGAGCCCAGGGGTCTGAACACTCATTCCCCAACACCTCTTTCTGAACACGGCCCAGGAGGAAGGAATGGAACCACTGTCTAACAGTGCCCCCAGCTCCCACCAAAGCAGATATTTATTTTTCTGTTGCAACAGAGTTCCCTCCCAAGGTAGGAGAGACCCAGAACAATGGTGCGCAAGCTTTTGAAATTACCCACCCTGTACCCCAAGACCACCCCCAAAACATAATACATACAGCACAGATGGAGGAAAATTTAAGTGTTGCTTCTCTCCTGTCTGCCAGGATACCTGATAATGCCTTATCTGATTGCCTTTTCTGGGTAGCCTGGCCATTCCTTTGAGATGGTAAATACTTTTGGTCCTGAATCTCTTACACATATTGATCCTTTGCCCAGCTTAACATATACTTGCCAGACTGTATTTGAAGAGAGAGTGAGCTCCGACAGTCCAAAGATAATTGGAAAACTTTTCCCATTTCCTTCCTGCTTGCAAAGAAATATTTGAGGTCAATTTGGGAGAGTCAAAATGGCTTCAGGATTGCTCTCCTGTACTATTTCAGACACGTGGTTTATGAACATTTATTCCATGTCTGAGATCTTAGAATTCTTATAAGTGGATCCATAACAACACACAGCATTCCCAAGATGCATTTGGGCAGCGCCCCATATGTTAAACTTCAGCCATGTTTTGAAAGCTGAGAATATGGGAGAGTTTCCATCCGAGTTTATACCAGTGGTAGAAACCAGTCAATCCACCAACCAAACGGCCAGCCGATCATTAAATGAAGTACAAAATATAAAGTAACACAACCTCGGGAGAACCAAGTATTAATTATTAAACATGACAAGCTAGAAACTAATAGTCATAGCAGATCTGAGAGCTGTGACAACGTTCAGATATGTTACTGCCTGTTTGGTAATAGATTAATTAGAGTGCAGCAAAAATTCTCACCACATGGAGGGATGATACTATCCACTTCAGCTATCCCAGAATGAGGGAGCTGGTTGGCAGTTTGGCCAGCTGCATGGGCTGAGTAGGGATCTAACAAGGGGACTGCCTCCCCCTCCAGAGATGCCAGTTTCCCCCCCAAGATTGAGGGGGCCGGGCGCATGTTGTGTGCATGAGACGCCACTCACATCACGCATCGTGCACGCGTTACCTCATGTACATTGCCTGTGTGCAAAGTGCCTGTGATTCTGGAGGAGCTGGACATTGGAGCTGCAACACTCAACGTGTGTTGTGTGCAGGACTGCCTCAAGATTGGGGCCCCCCTTAAAACAAATGTTGAGGGGGCCAAGGTGTCTTTGACCCCCTAGAGTTAGTGCACCAGTCCCCCTCTTTTTCAGGCAAGGAAGACCATCCCCCTCTGGCTGCCCATCCTTGTACAATTCAAGGGGATGAAGCGACCATTTTCCTAAAGCAACACTCCCTGCAAAAGTGGGATGGCAAGATCCCTCTCCTGGGTATCCAAGTGGGCAGGATCTCTTTGGTACCCAATTCTCTTTTGTTGCAAGAACGCAAGTCAGCTATTTCTGAAAACAATGAGTACTGGAGAGCCCCTGGAACATTAGCTGTGTGAATATTCTCACCTCAATTAATACTATCTTAATGCAAGGAGGTGGGATTGCGGGGATTTGCAGAGCGAAAGCTGGCAGCTTTGCCAGCTGGCTCATTAACTTCTCTTTAATGTTCCTGCTTTGAGCAGCACCCCTGGGATCCTGAGGCCACTCGGGGGCCCACATTTCCGTACTTGGAGGGCAACTCTTGTTCTTTGCAAAGCCTCGCCTCTTCCCCATATGCAAAGCAGAGATAACTCCGTACTCCTAAGAGGGCTGCACGGAGAGCATGCAGCTTTCTAAAGCTTCTTTGTTTGAAATTTGTTTGAAATTTCCCTGGAACAAATGCACACACAGAGACCTAAAAGCAGGACATCGTCCTCAGCACTAATGCTACAGCATCAGCGGTCCATTGACCCCATTGCTCTTGAAAAGTTCTTGAGAAGTTCGGATTTGAAAAAAGGAAAAACCAGCAGATTTCTACACATTAGGGTTTGAATGAAGATATGTTTGCAAGTTTGTGAGCCGTATAAGGGTGTTAGAAGATGGCTGGATCAGACCCATCTAGTCCGGCATCCTGTTCTCACAATGGCCTTCCAAATGCCTCTACTGGGAGGTCTGCAAGCAGGATCTGAGCACAAGACCACTTTCTTCTCCCCACTTGCAAATTTCTAGCAAGTGCTTGTTAAGTGTGTGGGGTCATACTGGAAAGCTGGAAATTCAAAGGCAGCTCCCATTTGGCTCCATCTGCATGTCATGAACCAGCGACAGAGCAGCAATGGGGCTTTGGGTTGCTTCCTTTATTCTTGCACAGATCTGCTCCGGCCTGCATGCCTGGGCTTCTTGCAGTTTGTTGCCGTTACAAAACAGTAGTCCCACAAAACCACAAACGTTTCTTGTCTGGGATTGTTTGCTGCCTCATTCCAGCCTGGCATATGGAAGAGGCTGATAAGAGGGCATGTTGAAAAACCGTCATCTTCGGTCTAGCAGTTCGAAAGCACAAAAAAGTGCAAGTAGATAAATAGGTACCGCTCCAGCGGGAAGGTAAACGGCATTTCCATGCGCTGCTCTGGTTCTCCAGAAGCAGCTTAGTCATGCTGGCCACATGACCCGGAAGCTGTACGCCGGCTCCCTCGGCCAATAATGCGAGATGAGCGCCGCAACCCTAGAGTTGGTCTCGACTGGACCTAATGGTCAGGGGTCCCTTTACCTTTTTACACCTTACATGTAAAGCACGACCAGTGTTTAAAGCACATGGCGTCCACCAAAGAACGTTGGGAACTGTAGATTGCTGGGAATTATAGTTCTGTGAGAAGAGAAACTACAGTTCCCATAAATGTTTGGTGGAAGTCATGTGCTTTAGATGTGCATTGTTAAATGTGCATTAAATGTAGCCCTATTTTACCCCCTCCTTACTTAAATTGTAGCTTATGGCTGAAATGGAATGTATTTTTTAAAGAAAACAAACACACAAACCAACCCCGAGCAGCAGGGTTTCCAGAGGAATCTCTGGCCTGAGCAATGGACAATCAAATCAAGATTAGACACAACCACATGGCATTTTAAAGGAAAGGTGAGAAAACATGCAATATTTGAACTATCAGGTTGTGAAGCTGAGTGCTTTTAACACCTTATTTCATTTTTAAGGTGCAAATCTTTAAAAGACAAACAATTAAATTTGCAAGCAGATTCTAGCTGGGAAATTTTGGAGGGATTACCCCCTCCTGCTCAAAGTGATTTTGGTGTTTAATCAACCACTCCCACATGAACAGTAAGCCACAAAGCACTTTGCAATCTCTCAGAGGGCTACTTGCTCTGGGAATCCGAGTTACGTTTGCACAACTAAAGTGGACTAAAGTACTCTGTTGCAACAAATCTGCTTTTGTGGGAACCCAAAGCACTTTAACCAGATGTGTTGCCATCCAGCTCCCATAGGTGGGAGTTGTCACTTCTATTCTGCTGCAACTTAAAAGAATAATAATTAAAAAATCTGTGCTTGTAGTTGTAACAACCTTAGGTAAACCACTTTGTGAGGTCTGCCTGAAAAGCACCATATAAGCACTGTAAGTAAATAATAGGACATATGATCTCCGTGTATGCAAGTCAGGAAGGATGCTCAGATACATAACCTCCCCACCAACCCCAGAATGAGTGCTCATGAGAAAGCAGGCCTTTTTTATCCTTCATTGCAAGCAAATCAGGATATACGCTCAGTGAACAGGTCATCACACCGCCCGCCTGTCCCATGACTGCGTTTTCTGGACCTTCTGATTGGACAGCTCCCTCCCTTTGAGAGTCAGTGAACCCAAAGATCCTCCATTGCCTCAGCCCAGCTGCCTCCACTTCCCCTCTGATGTGTGGGCGTTGAACCACTGCACAGCGTATTTCCCAGGATTCTTTGGGGGAAGTGGTATAAGACCCCAAAGTGCTGATCCATGCTAGAAGTCCTCCTGCCGGTCAGATGTTCTTAAACCACCACGACTGTCCCTGTCTTTTCCTGTTCTGCAGCTGAGTGTGGAGACAGAGCTCAGCCGGATAAAAGAATTGGGCTGGTCGCCTTTTGGAAAGCACATGTCCTACAATCCTGTGAAGTTTCTGACTTCGGCACTCACCTGTCAGGGGAAATAGCAGCACAATCCAAAGCCATCCTCCATGGGTCTGCATTGGAGTCTGTTTTCTGCGGCTGATTCTATAGCAAAACCTTGTGAACAATTTAGAAAGCAGCAGGTTCCTCCTTTTCTATCTCCGCTTCCTCTTAACTAGAGAGTTAGAAGGAGAAATGCTGTAGAAATACTACAGATGATGAAGGCAGGCCAGGGATTCGCAGGGTGTGGACATTTGTTTTCTTGAACTTTTTTTAAAAAAACACACACGCCAAAAACAGCCTCCAGGAAGTTTCAATGGCCATGTAAACACACGGAGCTGCTAACGGGTAATGAGTCAAATAATCAGTCCCTCTGTATTGAGAGCCAGTGTGGTGTGATGGTTAGAGTGTCGGACTAGGACTTGGGAGATCAGGGTTCAAATCCCCCACTCAACCATGAAGTTGGGAAGCCAGTCACTGCCTCCCAGCCTTACCAAATTATAGGGTTGCTGTAAGGATTAAATGAGGAGAGACCTGCCAGGGCCACCTTGAGTTCCTTGGATGAAAGAAGGTAGGATATAAATTCAGTCCATTATCATACAAGTGATTAATGGGTTGAATTCCTTCTAGTTTAATGGCGAATTTTGGATATAGCAGAGATGTATAAGATTTGGATTACAGTATTATAAAAGATGCAGGAGTGATAATAATAATAATAATAATAATAATAATTATTTATACCTCACTCAATAATTTATTATTTATACCCCTTCCCCAGCCACTCTGGGCGGCTTCCAAAAAAATATTAAAATACTGTACTACATCAAACATTAAAAGCTTCCCTAAACAGGGCTGCCTTCAGATGTCTTCTAAAAGTCTGGTAGTTGTTGTTCTCTTTGACATCTGGTGGGAGGGCGTTCCCAGGAAGGGTGCCACTACCGAGAAGGCCCTCTGCCTGGTTCCCTGTAACTTGGCTTCTCACAGTGAGGGAACCGCCAGAAGGCCCTCGGTGCTGGACCTCAGTGTCCGGGTAGAACGATGGGGGTGGAGACGCTCCTTCAGATATACTGGACCAAGGCCATTTAGGGGTTTAAAAGTCAGCACCAACACTTTGAATTGTGCTCGGAAACGGGGGGCCCGCTAGGGGTGCCTTGGAAGATGGCCGACAATACCATCTACGTGGCTCGCACACAGTAATTAGAGGCTGATTATGGGGAGTAAATCACTCTCCCTCGTCTTCCCAGGGGATGGGAAGATGCTGCCTCGCCCGCGGTTGCCCATAAAGCACCCCCGAGTTCGAAAGAAGGAGGGGGTGGGGGCACTGGACAGATAGCTCTCGTGCTGGCTCTGGAGCTCCCGGATGCCGCTTTCAAGAGCGAAACTGGTTGCGTTGCTTAAGAGAACAAAATTGGAGAAGTAAACGCACATGCTTCGAGCAAGGTCAGGAGTGTATTATCTGCTAAATAATTCCACCACTGAGACGATGAATGATGGGACGGAACGAACAGAGGACAGCATCAAAGAACCACAGACATGTCGGTATGTGAACGGAACGGAAAGGGGGGGCGGACTTTCTTCTTTTTCAATATGATTACCTAACAACCCTCCCCTTTAGAAGAACCGTCACAACAACGGATTGCAAGTGAGACTGAAAAATAAACTGTGTGGGGAAAAAATATTAATAAAGGGTTTTACTCCGTGAAAGATCTGGAAAGAAGAGAGGCTTTCTTGGTGGCGTAGTTACAAAAGTGATCCGCCATTAAGAGGCAGACCTTGTTGTAAGATTTGTAGTCTTAGGGAGGGTGAGCCACTGTTTTGGTATCAGGTTTGGATCCTAAATTCGAAAGGGCAATAACCCTCCTGGAAAGCTGATTTATGATACAACGGGTCTGAGAAAATTAATGAGCGGACATTTAGACCAGTGTTTCCCAACCGGTGTTCCGCGGCACACTGGTGTGCCTTGAGACCTTGCCTGGTGTGCCGTGGGAGGGAGGCGGGAGAGGCGGGGCGGCGGCGGCATCTCCTGCTGGATGCAAATCCAAACATGGCGGGCGCCTCCCTCGCTCCTTTGTAGGCGGACCATCGAGAGAGAAAGAAAAGGAGGCGAAAGAGCGAGAGAAGGCGCCTGCGCGGAAAGAGGAGCGAGCAGTGCGCCTGCGCGCTGCGGCGCCCGAGATCGCTTCTCCCCACTGCCCCTTGCTTCAAAAGAGGTCCGGGGACAGCGGGAAGCGCAGCGCTTCTTCCCCGCTGCCCCCGGACCTCTTTTGAAGCAAGGGGCTGCGGGGAGATCGCTTCTCCCGGTGCTCCGAAGCGGGGCGGGGGGGCGGGAACACCTGCCCCAGCCGCCCCGCTTCGGAACGCTGCTCCGAAGCGGGGTGGGGGGGGCGGGAACACCTGCCCCAGCCGCCCCGCTTCGGAACGCTGCTCCAAAGCGGGGCGGGGGGGCGGGAACACCTGCCCCAGCCGCCCCGCTTCGGAACGCTGCTCCGAAGCGGGGCGGTGGGGCGGGAACACCTGCCCCAGCCGCCCCGCTTCGGAGCGCTGCTCCGAAGCGGGGCGGTGGGGCGGGAACCTCGCACCCCGCCGCCGGGCATCGGAACGATGCCCCGATGCCGGGCGGTGGGGCGGGAACCTCTCCCCCCGCCGCGCGGCATCGGAACGATGCCCCGATGCCGGGCGGTGGGGCGGGAACCTCGCACCCCGCCGCCGGGCATCGGAACGAGGTCCTGGACCTCTTCTGAAGGCAGGCGGGGGCAAAAGTCTTTGCTCCCCCCGCCTGCCTTCCCGGGACAGCGGAGACTTCTCCGCTGCCCCGGGCGATCTTAAAATGCTGGCGGGCGGGAGCGAAGCGTTCGCTGCCGACCCCCAGCATTTTAAAATCTCCTCGGGGCAGCGGAGACTTCGCTCCCGCCCGCCAGCATTTTAAAATCGCCCCGGGACAGCAGGGGCTTTTAAAATGCTGGCGGTCGGCAGCAAAGCCCTCCTGTCCCCGGAGCTTGCGGGGCGGGAGGTGGGAAGAAGGGCTTTTCTTCCCACCGCCAGCCTTCAGAACAGCCTTCTGAAGGCTGGCAGTGGGAAGAAAAGCCCTTGTCCCCCCCCCCAGCCTTCAGAAGAGGTCGGGGGACAGACTGTCCCCGGACCTGGTCTGAAGGCGGTTTCCCTAGGAACGCATTAATTGATTTTCAATGCATTCCTATGGGAAACCGTGCATCGCAAGACGAAAAACTCGCAAGACAAAGAGACTTGCGGAACGAATTAATTTCGTCTTGCGAGGCACCACTGTACTTTTTATATAGTCAATATAGGCACAGAGTTAAATTTTTTAACATTTTCTAATGGTGGTGTGCCTCGAGATTTTTTTCATGAAAGAAGTGTGCCTTTGCCCAAAAAAGGTTGGGAAACACTGATTTAGACTGTATTTCATCGGAACTGAATAAGATGGCGACGGCTGCTCGAATGGGACTCTTGGACTATTGGATCTATGCGAGATGAATTACGGGAGAGCATTACAAAGTTCACACAGAAATATAAACAAGACTTTCTTTTAACTCACTTGTGGAGATAACTCAGAGGTGATTGAGAAGAAAAAGGGTAACGACAAGGAGAGGAGAAGATGGGACTGTGAACATCAAAGCAGCACAAATATAAGATGATTGGACTCCTACCGATCTCGAAGCATGGGTACCCCCCACAAAATTTATAATTTGGCAAAATATTTGGATTTTATGATTTGTATTGATATAATTTGGAATAATTAATATGATATGATTGGTTTGATAAATGGAAATTTAATAAAAATGATTTAAAAAAAAAGAATTGTGCTCAGAAACGTACTGGGAGCCTGTAGGTCTTTCAAGACCGGTGTTATATATACCTAGCAGTTCAAAATCACACCAGTACAAGTAGATAACTAGGTACCACTGCAGCAGGAAAGTAAACAGCGTTTCCATGCACTCTGGTTTCCGTCACGGTGTCCGCTTACGCCAGAAGCGGTTTAGTCATGCTCTTCACATGACCCAGAAAGCTGTCTGTGGACAAATGTCAGCTCCCTTGGCCTGAAGCGAGATTTGTGCCGCATCCTATAGTCATCTTTGACTGGTCTTAACCATCCAGGGGTCCTTTACCTTTTACGATCAAAATGTGGGTGAACCCTTAACTGGGCTCTGGCAAGACAAAAAACACACGCAAATACACCTGACCAGCATCTTTCGGAGTCTGCTGTGTATCCAAAAGGAACATCAGGGGAGAACTGGACCATCCTTGCTGAGCTGGGCAAGTCTGTTGATTTCAGTCCCCCCTCCATTTCTCATTTTTCCAGTTTTAAGTTAAGCTCTTCACATTTTCACATCAGTTTATGATTTTTTGAAAATCCACCAACATTTCAGTGCAAAGTTCTGTTAATATACTTTTTTTCCTATAATGCATTATGGTATGTTATTTTCACTTTAACATTTCCATTTCTATGAACACTTTACCCTGGCATATACAATTTTTTAAACATATTACTGGAGAACTGCACTGCAAAACTTAAAGAAGTGCAGATTTTGAAAGATGACTGTTGCTTGGTTCTTGAAAAGTGTGAATTATGCAAGGTTGCCTTTAGAAGCAAACAGAATAAAATTTCTTCCCAATCTGTCCCTTGACATTTGATTGGTAGGCATGGAATGTGAGCAGAGAGCGAAGGGACTGAGAAGGCAGAGATGACTGAACCAGGGAAGGGTAGACTGAACAGCTGAAGAAAAATGGACAGGGAGAAAGGGGGAATAGTTATTTATTTAAAATCGGGCATTCTGTTTTTTCATTGTTGAAGATCTCAAAGTCCTTACAAATCAAAGCATTACAGACAGTCATTTAACAAGGTAATGTGCATGCACACAACATTCAAAATTACCCTAAAGTGCCAAACAAAAATGCACATACCTACAAGAAAATCAATCAAATGCTGAGACAGAGCTAATGATTCAGCCTGCTGATCAACCAATTAATCTGGAAGGGGAGACAAGTGAGTGAGTTCTGTGGATGTCATTGCAGAAGAGGGGTCCTTTCTCGTGAAGCTAATCCATCTTCTCTCCAAAGGTGGAGGCACTTGAAGCAGGGGCCTGCATAAAAGATCTCTACAATTAACTTGGAAGCAGACAACCCTGCTGTCCTGGGCTGCTGCAGAT